CATTGTGGAATGCGGTACATTTATTTCTATGTTGCCCCATCAGTGATAACATTGTGGAATGCGGTACATTTATTTCTATGTTGCCCCATCAGTCATAACATTGTGGAATGTAGTACATTTATTTCTATGTTGCCCCATCAGTGATAACATTGTGGAATGCGGTACATTTATTTCTATGTTACTCCATCAGTGATAACATTATGGAATGTAGTACATTTATTTCTATGTTGCCCCATCAGTCATAACATTGTGGAATGTAGTACATTTATTTCTATGTTGCCCCATTAGTGACAGTAAGAAACATTGTGTTCTAATGTTTTGGTATGCAAGATATACCACATACAAAATTCAAGTGTAAGTCTGTATTTGACCTGGTATGTCTTGATGGTTAGGGCACTCGACTCACAATCTATGGAACGCGGGATCGAAACCTGTCGCCGAACATGGTTGTCCTTTCAGCCGTACAGCAGTATAATATGCCGGTCAATCCCACTATTCGTTGATAAAGAGTGGCCAAGAGTTGTTGGTGGGTGGTGTTGACTAGCCGCCTTCCCTCCAGTTCAGGGTTTCTCAACTTTTTGCACCTGAAGACCCACTTAATTATTTAGTGCAGTAGTAAAGGTCGGCATGTGAAGTTGATGACTCATTAGTTTAGCTAGGGCAGTCACAACTGTTCCGGCTTGTCTCACGACCCACCAGTTGGGAGTCAATACTCGAGTAGCTTTGCACAAAAATTCAACAAATAAAAGACCTCCATGTTTACCAACTCTCATTGAGATTCAATGTTGATGCCGAACCCTTATACCCCACGCGAGTCATCGATAATACTGAGGACTTATAAAGTTAAAAATCAGGTTTCGATACTTGCGGTGGGCACAGCACAGATAGCCCATAATATAGCTTTGCGATTAACAACAAACAAACAATAAACTTATATTTTTCACATTAATTATCAAATGTCAATTTTAATTGTAGATGGTTTTGTATCAAGCTTTTTTTTTTTCATAAGCAAATATTTATAATGGATTTAAAATGTACGGGTAACCTTGACTGTATTAAGCTTACTTATATTAGTTTCCTACAGGAATGTTACAGGTGTTACATGAACTTCAGTGTACTTAATCTCACGTTCCTACACATAAGACAACTGAGCTGGAAATGTGAAACACGTGTTCAGTAGAAATACACAGACATGATGAAACAAAGTTCAAGTAGCAGAAACGTTATAATGTGTCATATAAAAACCCCGACGTTTTACCAAACAGCTAACGAATTCGCTTTAGTTTGTTTAGGTTCAAAAATGATTAAAAACGTTTATACTAAAAGATGTGATTGGTGAATAAATGACATATGTTTCAATCTTAGTCTTCTGTTGAATATATATATATTTCTTACAGAAGAATGAAATAAAATTAGTTTACTTTTCTCCACGTTATAAATAAATATTTTTTTTTATTACTACAAGCTTTCGGTTGAGTTGTTTTTAATATCATGTCCTTCGACGATTCTAGGAACTGAGTCGACACATCGCAATAATACAAAATGATAATTTTCGTGTCCTCTCCACTCACCCAGTGACGCAGCAGTGAGTTTGTATATTTATGACGCTAAAATTCATGTTTCGTAATCCATGGTAGGTAGATCACAGATAGCCCATTGTGTAACTTTGTGCTTAAGAATAACCAAATCAAACTTTTTCACGTAAACAGCGTAACAGATTTTTGTTTAATTTTCAAATATTCCTATGCCATGAACATCAAATCGTATTTAAACTATATGCAATTTCAATTTGAGTCACTTTTGTTTAGTTTACATTTTTGTGGTTTAGTAGGGTCACATAACAAATAATTATTACCTCGTGCATTCTGACTGTAAATAAATGCATGTTATATTTGTTAATGACGTGATTCGAAACGAAAATGAAAACTGAAACTTGTTTCCACATACAACTCCGTGAAAGTATATTGTTGCGTCAGCGAGGTCACGTGACAAGTATCACGCCACGTCCTTCTCTCGAACCTTCGTGAATTATCGGGAGACTACTCCGTGAAAGTGTATCAAGCATCATAAATATTGCAGTTAAGTTTTTTCTTCCATGTTAAAACAACAAAACTCTCACAAGACCATATAAGTGTTTTATTTGGAATAACGCAAGATCTCGTGACGTTGTTTTCAAATCATCACTAGCTTAAGGTGAATAGATAAAACGGCATCACAGTTATAAAGATAGCTTTCACTGCTTACACTTTTTCTTAACTCTGTGGCCATTTTTGTTCGAATGATTGGTTTGACTGTTCTCAATTTTCATCTTTTAAGTGAAAAACTTAATGAAACGAAAACAGCCTTTACACATCTAATTAATTCATCTTTGTTTTCTGAGACGTAAGCGGGGGAGGGGGGCATAAGGTTTCGCAGCCAGCCTTAAGTGTTGTTGCTCCCTCAAGCTAATACCGCCCATTAATCTAACTTTAGATTTGGCCCCTTATCTCTCACTACCACCCCCTACCCCCACACCCAGTTAATTGATTATGATTCTTCCCGGTCGCTCAGCGGTAAGTCTAAAGGCTTATAGCGCTAAAACCGGGTTTCGATATTCATAGTGGGCTAAACATTGATAGCCCCATTGTGTATGCTTTGCGCTTAACTACAAACAATTGTTTGTTTGTTTGTAATTAAGCACAAAGCTACACAATGGGCTATCTGTGCTCTGCCCACCACGGGTATCGAAACCCAGATTCTAGCGTTGTAAATCCGCGGACATACCGCTGTGCCACTGGGGGGCAACTACAAACAAACAAAACTGATGGTGACTTATAGTGACATCACTTATGAATATATTTACAATGCACTCCTAATAATTACATTACTTTGTATTCATAATAATTCTACTGAAGTTTCGTAATTCATGTCTGGGGTTTTATTCCTTTTCGTAGAGTCATGGTAACACAAGTGTAATTAACTTCAGCAAAACTTGAAAACACATTTCGTTATCTAATTATGTCCATGTAGTAGGTGAGTTTAAAAATACTTTATCCATTTGACATTTCACATCATTAGATCTACTTCAAGGTATTAACGCCACCAGAGTATATCATGCGTGTTTAAAGATTAAAACAATTCTTCTCTAAAAGATGGCACCACTTACAACAATCTTTATCAGTGCTTCGTAACTAATTTTTAAATACTTTAATATCTAGTACAGCCCCAGTGGCACAGCGGTATGTCTGCGGAATTACAACGGTAGAATCCGGGTTTCGATACGCGTGGTGGGCAGAGCACAGATAGCACATTGTGTAGCTTTGTGCTTAATTACAAACAAACAATATGTAGTACATGTTGTTTTATTATGTTTGTTTTAATTTTTGCACAAAATTGTTCAAGGGCCGTCTGTGCTAACCGTCCCTAATTTTAAAGTGAAAGACTATAGAGAAGGTAGCTTATCAACATCACTCATCGCTAACTATTGAGTTATTCTCTACCAACGAATAATTGGTTTGATTATGTTCTCCACGACAGAAAGCGCTAGTATGTACGGGACAGATTTATATTCTGCGACATGCAGATTGTGAATTGAGCACCATAACCACCAGGCTTATTTAATGCTTATTTTCCTGTGCGTTTCTCATTTTATAATTCACGTGAACAAAATACATAAAACCTAAACACTTCCTTAATTAAAAGTTTTCATAAATTAAGATCTAAACTGAAATTAGCAAAAAATAACAAGCAAACTACAAAATTAAATGAAATAATTAACACTGTGTCCATTTTGCAACAATGTAGCAAAAAATTGAATATATATATGGTATTCCGGCCACTACTGTGTTCGTTGTATCCTAGCCGGCCTGAAGAGCTCTGGATTGATCGAAATGCATAGTCGACAATGGATATAACAAATATAATGTGGTTGAAATACTGTTATTACACACTTTTCTAATTCTTGGAAATCCCTAAAGTATTATATTAAGAATGTAGTGTTCAAAAGTATAATAGGCCTAACATAACATCTTATTGGAAATACAGTTGAATGTAGCAAATATCCAACACTTTCAAAAGTATTATCGAACAAAAATTGTTAAGCTGCTGGATCATTAAAACAAACAACCCTAATATTCGTAGTAAAAACAACTCTCGAACCGTAGATATATTCCTATACATTTTCTTAACTTGGAGATGGTGATTAGGGCGCTCGACTCGCAATCTGCAAGTAGCGGATTCGAATCCCTACACCAAACATCTTCAATCTTGAGGGTTTTAAAAAAAGTAACACAAGAGTTGGCAGTGTTTGGTGTTGGCTAACTGCATTCTCTTTTGTTTATCACTCCTAAATTTGTAGCAGCTAGCACAGATAAGCCTTTTGAGTAGCTTTGCGCGAACTAAAATAACAAACCTTCTTAATTCGTCCATTGTGGATGATATGTCAGAGGCGTGTAAAAATACAATTTCAGATTTCCGTCTTATTTGCCGCAAACAACCACATAGCTTTTTTCTCGATATCAAAACATTTCAACTGGGCTGGAACATGATAGTCAAAGGCTATTCGAAATGCTATAACATTTTATTCAATTATCATTTTTTCGTAACAGGAAAGCTCGATGGCCAAAGGTGCAACTTTGTCATAGATTCTGCGTCTCAGCAAACCCTTGTGAGTATCAAGGTGCTAGATCACAAAGGAGTACCAGAAGCCATACAGAAGTTCTGTGGTGTGACAGGACATTCTGTAAAGTTATGGGGACCAGTGTGGGTAACTATTGAGCTCATAGGCATAAAGGAGAGACATAAAGTATACTTGGCTGACTTTGAAGACGAATGCATATTAGGGTTGGACTACTTACTACCGAGGAAGTGTGTAATTAATTTTCATAAAATGACGTTTGGGAACAACAAAGGCCAAATCCCGGTGAGTGTTAGAGGTTGAACTAACCAGGTGTCATCAAGCTGAAGTCAAAGGAACCAGGTATAGATATTAAATCAGAGCAGGAGAAAAACCAAGATTTGAAGATAATAATTGATTTTCTAAAAGCAAGTTTTTGTGCCCTGCTTGGGAGAAGGTGTCTAGTCTAAGCCCTGTGACATAGAACTATTGGGCACAATGGGACCAGTTGAAGCTTGAAGATGGTATTCTTCTCCGGAGATGGGAAACTGCAGATGGGAAAGTGACGACCTGGCAAACAGTTATACCGAGAAAGTTATGGGAAGCTGTGCTGCGTTAATCCCACGATAGTTTAACAGGAGGACATCTTGGAGCTACAAAGACATTGAGTCACCTACGGCAGATATTTTACTGGATAGGTATGAGGCGAGATGTGGAAGAATGGTGCAGGACATGCAGTACATGTAGTGCTAAAAGGGGACCCAAGCATAAGGGACGTCCACCTTATGAAGAGTTGCCTGTGAATATGTCAGAGTTTGTGGAAGTGTTATCGGAAAGGATGGATGATATTCACCATCAAGCGCGTTCAAACTTGAAAACGTCTACTGATTCGATGAAGCTATGTTGTGGTAAGAGTTCTACTGAAGTCAGCTTTGTACCAGGAGACAAGGTGTGGTTGTATAATCCCAGGAAGACCAAAGGGAAGTCTCCCAAGTTGTCTTCTCCATGGGAAGGCCCATATGACATAGTGGATCGTCTCTCAGACGTTACTCTCCGGGTAAAATGTGGTCGGCGAGGTAAGCCAAAAGTGGTGCATGCCAACAGGCTTTGGCGTTATCATGGTCCAGGACGTTTCAGTTGGGATGAAGTGAACAACAGAACAAATGACGCTGCTGAAAACGTGCCACCTGAAGAAGCCACCGTCGAAGAAGAAACTCTACTCAATTTTGAGAAGGGAAACGGTGAAGCTCTTGATGAAGTTACTACCACTGATGTGACTGCTACCGACGATAGGACTTTTCCTGATGAAGCAGATGAACCCCATATGAAGCAGAAGCCAACGAGACGGAGACCAGTACGGAAGAAGATACGTCCCATAAAATTAAGAGACTTTGTTGAATTGTAATTTTGTGTTTGTAATTCTATACATTTTAAGTTATTGTTAATTGTTATTGGTTTATTGTAAGTGGCTATTGTTCGGGACGAACAATACTAAGGAGGGGCAGTGTTGCGTCAGCGAGGTCACGTGACTAGTATCACGCCACTCCTTCTCTTGAACCTTCGGGAATTGTCGGGAGATTATTAGATATAGGGTAGTCTGGTATATATAAGATGGTCACAACGTGACGGGACAATGTGTGTAGGTAATGAGTAATTGAACTGCAGTCAGAGAGTGTGTAATTGAGCACGTGAGACGTTCTAGCGTTTGTTATAGAGCGACTGTTGAAATTAAGTGTATCGGTAAAGTTGTGTTACGTCTCCGTGTGTTAATTAATTTTCCGTAACTTCGTTCCGACGAAACTTTAGCGACACAAGTCCTTTCTAAAAAAAAAAAAAAAA